CTGTAGCAGCAAAAATGCAGGTAGTAAATACAGAAATGTGCAAAAATCGCAAAGGGAGTGGAATGGTGTTCAGTTGAGTATGAGTGTGTGTGTGTGTGTGTCTGTGTGTGTGTGTGTGTTGTCAGTCCAGTCTCTGAGTGTTGAGGAGTCTGATGGCTTGGGGGAAGAAATTGTTACACAGTCTGGTCGTGAGGGTCCGAGTGCTTCGGTACCGTTTGCCAGACAGCAGGAGAGTGAAGAGTTTGTGTGAGGGGTGCGTGGGGTCGTCCACAATGCTGGTGGCTTTGCGGATGCAGCGTGTGGTGTAAATGTCTGTGATGGAGGGAATGGTGACCCCGATGATCTTCTCAGCTGTCCTCACTATCCTCTGAAGGGTCTTGCGATCCAAGACGGTGCAATTTCCAAACCAGGCAGTGATGCAGCTGCTCAGGATGCTCTCGATAGTCCCTCTGTAGAATTACAATCATTTGTTTTAGAGCTTTATATTATTTGTTTGAATGTGCAATCAGTATTAAATCTTTCCCACAGAGCTAGTTGTGTTACAACTTTAATCATTTAATCAACAGGGCTACATGTCAGAGTCAGACTGTAAACTGTATTTACAAATGATTGCTTGCACATATCCAGACAGCCAAAAGGGCATTTTATTATTATTTATTTGTAATTTGTGTCACAATTTTACATGAATTAATAATTAAAAATGATTAAATGCTCCAATAACCATGTAAATCATTGTATATAAGGACTGCTCACTATGAGACTTTAATGAGACTTTAAAGTAATGGCAGATGCACCTGGAGGGCAAATGAGTGAAGCTTGTAGATAATTGCTTTATCAGCTGATATCAATTGTAGAATAACTATACGTTGTATTTTTAAAAGTGTCTAATTATAGTGATTAACTTATAATATTTTTCAGTTAGATAGCCTACTACTTTCCAAACCAGCAGATAGATGATTCTGCTACAACTACTACTACTACTACTACTACTACTAATAAAAATAATAATAAAAATAATAATCAGGGGGAAACATTGTGATAGACTTACTAAGTTTCAAGCCCTGACTAATGTCAAAAGCTGACCACATCACAGCAATGATAGGATTTCTTTTTAAAGAAGAATTTCAATTACTTTTTTTTTATCTTAAAACCAACCAGTTGTTGTTCTTTGCATATCTATTGCTTTAATTGCTCAGTGAAATTATTACCTTCTTGTTAACAAAATAATATTATACTTTGCATTTGCTCTGTGTTTGTGTGATTAGCACCGTTTTTTTTTCGTTTCCTATTTTTTCCTTTCAGAGGTGATGAACCATACATAAACACTTGAAAGCTGGAAATGCCCACACAAGCCATTGTGTATTGTGATTAAAAGCATTTAGTTCAAAGAGTCCTTCAAAAAAAACAGTCGTTTTGGAAGGAAATAACCAGTGGACACTTTGCTCTTGATATTCTTTGAGCTGTCTTTATACTGAATGCAAATCAGTGCTTTGATGCAGGTTTCACGTTTTGATCACTACCCCAGGTGAAAAAAAGAAAAACCCAGAGTATTTGCATTTATAATCTATTTGTTTGTTCTGAAGTGTGCAAATTCATACAACCCGGTGGCATGTGGGGAAATTTTTGATGCTTAAGACTATTTGTTCATTATTAAATTGTGATACTTGTCCATGTTTACATGAGTGACAGTGATTCTGCAACAAAACCACCAGTTTTAAATGGCTCACTGGAAGGAAAAGAGCATAGTCATGATCATTTAACCGAATAGGTGACAAAAAAAAAATTGAAAATAAAAAAAAGAGCTTTAGAATGGTGAGTTGGCTCCCAGTGTTCACTCAAAAGAGCTGCTTCAGAGAGCTGACTCATTCTCCACTGATTCATCACTAATGAACAAAACACTGTGCCCAAGGAGAGTGAAGTAAACTTACTAGATTGAGACACAAGAGGGCAGCAGTGGAGTTTAAGGTAGTCACGCTCGGTACTGAAGGTTACAAGTGTGTGTTGAGAAGGTAGAGAAATTTCAGGTGAAAGTCTTTATCAAGGTTTGTCTTGTTTCCCTGTTGTCCTGCACATGTTTATGTTTTTTGCTGCTCTAACACATCTACTTTGAGGCAGGGGTGTCCAAACTTTTCTTATGTGTGTGTGTGTGTGTGTGTGTGTGTGTAAAAGCTCAGAGTGCAGGCTTTAATTTGTGAATATTTACATCCTAATCGGGTGAACGAGCACTTTTAATATGTGGTCCCCCAATTTAAGGAACCAAAATGAACTGGACAAACTAACAATCATAAATTAAAGTGTCATTTTTTATACTTGGCTTCAAATCCACTTTAGTTAAGGACTCTTTCAAGAATTCACAAAAGATTTTCCTTGCTTAGTGGTTTCCAGTTTTTTTGAAATCACACTTTCTCTCTGCTAACTTTGCGCTCTTTGTTTGTAGCCATGACTAAATATCATTCAGTAAATTAATTTGCAGGTGTATTTTAGAAAAAACAAAAAAGTTCTTGCATGGTATCTAACTGTGTTAACACAGTCTGCTGCCACCGTTAGGTGAAAGGAAAAACTGCACCGTGTTGGCCTGTGGGTCACCGATCGTACATTGTAATAGAGGAGCCGCGGGCCATTTAATGTGTGTCCACAGGCCACATTTGGCCCTGGGGCTGGACTTTGTACACCACTGCATTAAGCGCTGTTAAATGAATCATTGTGATTAGTTGAATCATTGTGTTGGGAGCAGGGAAAACACTAACATTTGTCCTATTCACTGCCAATTTAAAGAAACACCATCAACCTTCAGTTGAAACACAGTCATCTTTTTGTAGATTTTAATCTTACAGATCACATGAATGACCTTTAAAAAGCAACAATTTTTAAAAATGTACAACTAATAGAATTATAAGCTCTGTAAACACACAGAAAGATATCTCTGCAACGTGTTATATAAAGTTAAATTCTAAGCTATTATAAAAATGTGATACACTTTCAAGAATTCTTTTAGATCAAGTCACATGAGTGAAATGGAGATTGTGAAAGTGAATGAGATTGAAGAATTTGGCTCAAACACACCTGATTCAACTCTTCACTTAATGACGGGGTTCAGTGCGTGTGTTAGAGCAGGAACATTTCCAAACTGCGCCAGAATCTAAACACAGAAACATAGACTACATTGATACAGTCACAGTTTCTAGGTAGGAATCTGAGACGAGTGTCCTAAAATATTGCTTTTCTGAGATTATTAGAGAGAGAGGAGCATTTTTTTTTTTACTAAGAATTTAGATTGTAATGCTGTGATACTTTCAGAAACTACACTCTGCTTAACACAGAACTGTTTATAGGTTTATAAGTGTATAAGTTCTTCCACATGTGATTGTCTGTGAAGTAAAAAAAAAAAACATGAGAAGTTGCATTTCATCATGTTATGCCCTAAAATTGCACATGAATTCAAGTAAACACAGGTGACAATATACGAATAGGACATGAGGAAATCACATCTGTCCTACATGTGGATTATAAATTGTGTAAAAATCACATGTGAAAAATGTGTGAAACATAACCACTATGTGATTATTTACATGTGAGAGTCGAGTGACTTTTCTGTAAGGAACAACAACCAAAAAATAAATAAATAAAAATAAAAATAAAAGATTTTAATGATGGTTCATGTTGCTTGGAAAGTCTATTTTTGTTACACATTTTTCAACCAGGATGGTTTAATGATTTCCAAGAGGCCACTTGTTTATTCATCTACAGTTCCAGTATAGGTCTATAGTGTAATTCATAGAAGTTCTGACATTATGTGTATAATATGTGAGCATACATGGAAAAAAAATATGTGAGAAAATCATATCTGAAAAATAAAACATGCCCTCCATGTGAAAAAATATGTGAAAATAAATTAATATGTAAAAATCATATGTGAAAATAAACCACATTCCCTACATGCTAAAAATTAATATTGTGAAAATAATTTACTTATGTGTAGAAATAATATGTGAAAAATGTGTAAATCAAAACCATAACCAATCATGACTTTTCTGCATGGGAAAAAATTACACTTGTAAAATGTAAAATGGCACTATAAAATAAAAAGAATTAGGTAAACAGTTAATTTGGGATTGTGTAATATTCTGTAATGCAAATGCACATCAAATGAGCATATAAATATCTGATAGTGCTCCAAACGCTACACCCAACACACTTAAGTGTTTTTTTTAAATTATCTAAAACGGCATGAATATGCAACTGCACTGTTATTCAAAAACAATATTTGTTTAAGCTTTATAACTAAATGAATAGGAACTGCAGTGAATAAGTCACGATGGTGTATAATGTGGTTTCAGGCGTGTGAGTAGGCTTACTGTTCTACTGAATGTCAGAATCTCTGAAGAGAATATCTGAAGGAGGAACAATCGTCTTCTATTGAGCTCCAACAGCAGCCTTGAAAAATCAAATTATTCACAGTGTAGGAGGCAGAAGAGGGACGTCATCACAGTGTCTTCCCCCAGATACACTGTGTGTGATGGCTTTTTGTTCAGCATTTCATAATTTCAGTCAAGAAAATACCATATCATGGTTTTGCACAAATACATTTTACATTGTAGTCTATATGTTTAAAGAAGAGACTCCATTTTCAGAGTTCATCAAAGGTTTTCAGCAAAATCACAATGTTAATGATGCACTGGCAGAACACAGTGAGAGGAACTTTCTTGTTTTCTTGATTGGTGTATCTGCAACTATTATTGGTGTTATATGTAAAGATCAAAGCGTTAACATGTCAAGATTTTCAATGTGGCTATAAATAATGGCTTTATTATTAGTTTTTCTTGTCAAGAATGATCATCAGAGATAAAAAAAAAAAAAGTATGCTATTATGAGATAACTGTAATTCATTAGGGGTATTTGTCAGTTGAGTCTGGGTTTTTATGCTGCAGTAACTCATTGATCCACCAGAGGGCAGGATAGTATAAATTAAATCTGGTGTATTTTGCTGGGATGTTATAGGTACCTGGCTAGCTCAGCTGGTAGCGTATGGGACTCTTAATCTCAGGAACGTGGGCTTGAACCCCATGCTGAGTGCTGACCCCAGCCAGTGGGGGTGCACAAGTTAGTGCACTCTTAGTACCAGTCCCAAGCTGGGATAAATGGGGAGAGTTGCATCACTAAGGGTATCTGGTGTAAAACCTGTGATAATCAATATGTGGACAATGGAAGGTGATCTGCTGTGGCAACCCCTAACTGGAGCAGCCGAAAGAACAGCAACAACATTTTGCTGGGATGTTATAAGAGGGAAAAAAAAGATTTATAAAGAAAAGTTGCCTGTTTCTATTATGCATTTTCACCAGGATCTGATGGAATTAATAGTTTCCAAGAGGTCGATTGTTTGTACATATTCAGATCCATCCATCCATTTTCCATACCACTTATCCTACACAGGGTCACTGGGGAGCCTATTCCAGGGGACTCAGGGCACAAGGCAGGGGACACCCTGGACGGGGTGCCAACCCATCGCAGGATACAGTCACACACACATTCACACACTACAGACAATTTGGAAATGCCAGTCAGCCTGCAACACATGTCTTTGAAACCAATAAACCATAAAAAATGCAACTAGGGTGAGCGAGATTTTAAAATGACATGAGGACCCTTTACATTTTGATAAGCCATATGGAATTTTTTTTTTTAATCTGACTGAAGTAGAACCCAATGTGGTCTTCTGCTGTTGTAGCCCATCCACCTCACGGATCGACTTGTTGTGCATTATGAGATGCTTTTCTGCTCACCATTGTACAGAGTGGTTATCTGAGTTACTGTAGCCTTTCTGTCAGCTCGAACCAATTTGGCCATTTTCCTCTGACCTCACTCACCAACAAGGCATTTCTACCCACAGACCTGCTGCTCACTGGATGGTTTTTCTTTGTTGCACCATTCTGAATAAACTCTGAGATCACATTTTTTCCCCATTCTGATGGCTGTTGTGAACATTACCTGAAGTTTCTGGCCCGTATCTGCATGATTTTATGCATTGCACTGGTGCCACATTATTGGCTGATTAGATAATTGCATGAATGAGTAGGTGTAGCCTACTAATAAAGTGTTCAGTGAGTGTACATCAACAATTCTACCTGATGAACTGGACCTAATAAACTCAGTGTAGGTCTTTTTTTGGGAACTAAATCAAATCAAAAAAGTAAAATGGTTAAACCGGATTTACACTGTATGATTTTCAGGCCGAATTTGCTGTTGCAAACAAAAATTACACATGTAAGTAAAAGAATACTTTGGTCATAAATTGAGATCAGTTGTCTTATAAAGCATAAAGGGATGTCATCACCGTCGGCTGATTTAGTGTCAATGTGACCAAAGACAGTCAACGATAACAAAACAGTTCTGGCAAAGTGTGAGTGCTGCTACCTGCTACAATCGTTAAACATTAAATAAATAAATAAATAAATAAATAAATAAATATCCCTGAAAGAATTTAAAAAAAAAAAAAGATCAGTTTGTTGAATTTTTGCAGAAGAAAATTTTATACCAGCCATAAATGACTTCAAACTCATCTGCTTCACCCTTTAAAATGTGTTTTCTCTAGACATAGTATTACCACTATTATACAGATAGCTTGTTTCTATTTGACACAACCCTGTTTTAATCACAGGTCTTTCATCAGAGGATCTTTTCTGTATAATCCAACATGGAGAACACATTATTGCACAGCCTGTTATAGAATACAGCCAAGCATTTATTGGGATCATCTCATACAATATGACAAGTAATAATCTTAAAAGCTCTCTGTAATCGTACAGCCTAAAACTGGCTTAACAGGTGGGTGGCTTCCAAAAGTTTTTTTCAGAGTTAATATGTGGCACAAACTGAACCCATTTTTATTCAGTCATAGACTGATTTATTCTCTACCTCAATTCTCCATTAAATTATAAGAAACCAAAAAAAAAAAATGCACTACAATTCAGAGACACAAATTTCAAGCAAATGGATGGGTTTTTTTTTTTTGGTTTTTTTTTATCTTTACAGTTCCCCTATTCATTACTGGCTCTTTTGTGCTGAAATATAGCCATGAATTAAAATAAAGATCTGGTGTAATTTTGGACATATACATAGAGCATGATGAGCTCAGACAATTTCAGAGTGATGGTAAAATTGGGGTGTCATTTAAGCAGTCTCACTCAAACTCAAAGCCGGGTTGCTCCTCATGAACAAATGGTCTGACATGGATCCGAGTACATAAGATGGTGACAAAAGACAGGAGGACGAAAGCAGCAGGCTGTTGTTAATTTAGCTGTAGAGGAGAAACATACTAAGAGAGGTTGCGTTGTGTCAGGCGTCATCAGATCTTGTGTTTCATTGGATTGTGGTGTGCTATTTTAAGTGTTTGTATGTGTTCTAAAGTTCCAGCCTCAAATCCCTCTCGATCTTTGAATATATTGTGACAAGCCACCTCCATAAATACAAATCCAGGCTTTGACGCTAATTGCTCTGCCTGGCACTCAGGCTGGGGAATTCCTGTTCTTTAGAGTCTAGACAAACTCACTGGTTTCTCAAAAGAAAACATCACCCATCAATGCTAATAATGTAATAAAACAAATCAAAGGTTGTATAGACTAGTTACAATCATTTTAACACAATCATGCTAATTGTTGTAAGTCACACTAGTGTTAATTTTTGGAGGGAAAGCCATACTGGTTGTCTTCAATGTGGAGAATGTATGTCAGTTTCAACCTTGGAGGCCCTTTGTGGATATCGCCAACATGCTTTTAGAATGACCTCTCACCCTGACGCACACAGCCAGGTCGAGACAGGTCAAGGGTGATCTGTGTTTAGCGTTTAGAGAAGCTGAGTGAGCTTATACAAACAGAAGCAACAGGTGGATGGTGAAGGTCGTGGCTGAGCTGTAAAGGGTAGCATTCCACAGAGACTTCAAAACAGAAGAGCCACCTAAAGTCACCACATCTTCAAACATTTTAAGACCTTTGTTTATGGTCCCTCACTTTTCACATGCACAATGTACCATCTACATAATTGAGTAAATTCTGACAGCCTCTGAAGGTCCCATCTCATCTAAAGGTCAATAGATATCAGGATTTTATTGTTTAATGACATTTCATTAGTTGCTCATAAAAATATAACCTTTTCAGCTGTCTTAGGATGCAAATTGTTTTGGTGTTGATCCTACTCTGCCACCAATAAGATTAGGATCATGTCCAGACTCTCACACCCATGCTGACCTTTTCTCGTATCCATCTCCACCAGTGGATATCAGGTCACTATCAGTACTTGTATCCCCCAACATGTACTGTCCTGATATCCTTTCACAAGCTGCCACTGCTCCAGAGCTATCCAGCAGCCCGTCACTTTGTGGCTTGTCCCGTCTGGGAGGCGGCATGGGTTTGAGGCGACTACGCTTGTTGACCCGTATGGACCTGGGTGTGCCTACTAGCTCAGATGGGCACAGTGCCACCTCACTGCCCTCTCGCTCTGTTACCTCATCCTGTGCCACTGGGTAACAACCAGCTCCATTACTACTGCTGGAACTGGGTACACCAAGATTGATACCTACAGGGGTTCCTCCACGAGGGATGCCTGGATGACTTTTACCTTCTGAATGCAGAGACACATCATCATCCACACAGGCTTTGCTGATTCTCTTACGGAAGCTTCCATTGACCAGCAAGGATTGATGTTCAGGGTCACCAAAGTCGACACCAGTGGCTCCACTTTCTGCAAGGAAGTATCGTTCCTCCTCATACATCTTCTCTACCATCATCTTCTTCTTGCTCCTGTGCCTCGCTGACTGCTTAGATGCACAGATGAGATCAAATAGGTTGAGAATAAGGGACAAGGCAGCCAACCCCAGCATGAAATTCAGCATGATGGTCTTCTCAGTGGGTCTGGATATATAGCAGTCCACCATGGTGATGCAAGGAGCATGCTGGCACATGAAGCGCTTCGGGATGTAGAAGCCAAACAGATAGTAATGGGCTGCCCCAAAACCACCTTCCAGAAGGATCCGGACCAAAAGATGAAAGATGTAGGCTCCTGTGAAACAAGGCAGCCGTCTTACACCCGCTTTTACACTAGACTTTGACAGAGATGCTTCATGGAAAGGTTCTTGTTTAAGCTTATAGAAAGACCTAAACTTCATTCTGTTAGAGGCATCAGGATGAGGTAGGCTGGATGTAACTTTGTGGATCACATAGACAATAAATACAACATGAACCAGGATAATGGAGGTAAGCTGGACCAGCCAGAAGCGGAACAGTGACAGAGGTGCAAATATATCATAACACACATTGGCACAGCCAGGCTGGATAGTGTTGCACACAAATCTCTCTTGCTCATCCTGGTAGAGTGGATAGCCAGCCAAGAACAAGACTGATGTACGTAGGAAGACCATTAGAACCAGCCATATCTTCCCTGGAAGAGAAAAAAAATCAACTTGTCAGGGATCAACTTTAAGTGTTTATGTAGTACAAGCATTATGACAGAATTTACAGCTCTTTCAGGAGCTCTTTGAAGGTTCCTAAAAGTGTTCTAATTTCAACCCTTTCTGGTATGGAAACACACTCTTGAAGAGTTCTACATAGGATCTTAAAGGTTCCCCCAGAGAGACAAATCAAAGAACCCTTAATTACCATAAAGGGTACTTATCCCTATCCGCAGATCATGAAGGTTTCATTGGTGCATCCATAAAAATGATTCCCCAAGAGATATTTGAATAGTTAAAGTTTCTAAGCTTCCTAAATGGGCTGTAATTGGAAACTCTTTAGATATGTAAATGTTCTGTTATAGGGTTTGACATAGAATCCTTACTGGCACAAACTGAAGAACCTTCAATGGTTCTACCTTTAAGATTTTTTGATATAAAAGTGATTATTGTTATAGATATGAAGCAGATATAGAAGTACTATAGGTAAAAATATATTTCATGATTTTACAAATGTAGAATCTACAGTAGGTTGATTGCACATTGTAAATTATTTGGCCAATTACACTGAAAAACGGTAGTCATTTCAGTTTGCCGTGTTAAACTAATTTCATAGAAATCTGGATAATTTAGA